CCCCCCCCCCCCCCCCCCCACACACACACACACACACTTCAAAATACACCCTCACTCCAAGTGTTCCAAGAAGCTGCTTTGATCGCGATCAAGGACTTTGATATTCGTCCAGACATTATTTTCATCTCACTAAGACGTTAAATCAACTTCCTGGTGTTCAGTTTCTAGAGACGCAGTGTCAGTCTGTCAGTCCGTCCACCACTTGTGTCCTTGACGGAAATATCTCAACTACTGCCATGAAGTTTGGTACGGACATTCATGTTCTCCAGATGAACAACTAATGACTTTGTGATCCCATGACTTTTCATAGCACCACCAGCAGGTCAAACTATCAACTTTTCCTGTGAAATATCTTTACACCTACAAGATGTATCTGCACCAAATTTGGATCAGACATTCATGTTCTCCAGACAATGAACCCTAAGAACTTTAGTGATCCCCTGACTTTTCCCCGACTGCGAACAGCAGTTCAAACTTTTCACTTATTCTGTGAAATATCTCAACATCTACAAAAATAACTGGCACCAAATTTGGAACAGACATTCATGGTCCTCAGAGGATGAACCCATATGACTCTGCTAATCCCCTCACTTTTAAACGAGCGCCACCATGAGATGGACATTTATGGTTTTGAGGGAAATTTCTTGCCAGGAAATTTGTAAATATTTAATGTAAATATTTACATTTAAGTAGCTGGAATCAGAAAATGTTGCCTTAAGTTTGCTTAAAAAACTCGTGCCGACTATCAAAATAGTTTGCAATTAATTTAAAAGTTGACAACTAATCGGTTAATCGTTGCAGCTCAAAGTCAGACCTCTACACATGTTCCCATTCAAAGAGAACCATAACCCATAGGCCTATTGGGCCAGCTCACGCCTGTACTGAAGGCCAATGCCTTTAGAATGAGTGCAGTACCATAATTCGTCCTCCAGATGGTGACATATTGTTTCCACATGGAAGGCTGAGGATCGGCTGTTAGACACTGGAGGAAGGCCATGTGCAAACGCTCCTAAAATCCATCCAAATGAATACAGACAAATCAACTCAAAAGGGATCCAGAAAGCCATTAGCAGCGTTGATCTGCTCTTGAACACAACTTTTGATCACAAAACAGCAAAGGTAAGACATCCTTTATGGTTTTGGCTATATAAAGTGAAGTTTATTATTTTATCTTTGGCTGCTGGTTCAGGGAGTTTTGGTTGTAAACTGACTCATACTTTTGGAATCTGTGGATTAGTTTTAATAATAATATGGTTTGTGAAGGTAGCATGAAGTATCGCTATGTGCACATGCATCGTTGCCGTGTTTTGCTACGTGCCCATTTAGTTGCTTGGAGTTGCAGTTGTGTTTTGTTTAGGAAAAAATGCTAACCGTTGTGGGTATGCAGGAAGAATATTATGCTACTCCGGTTCAAACATTACTCCTGCTTAGCTATAGCATGTTAGCATTGTCACGGTGGTTCATGTCAGGTTGCTAATGTTAGCATTTAGCTCAAAGCCCTGCTGTGCCTCGGCCTCACAGAGCTGTTAGCATGGCTGTATCCAGTTACAGTTTGCATGGTTGATATATTTTGCCTCATTTTTCATGGAAATAGCAGCATATAAGACATATTCAGGATGTGAAGAACTATGCAGGACTAGATTGAGCACCAAGGACGACTGAATAAGTCCTTGTTGGTGATTGAAATCGCAGGATATATACAGCTGAGTGGAGTTAAAGGCATTCTGGAAAAACGAACGGAGAGAAACTGAGCCGGAGTGAAAGAGTTCAGATGGACGACGACAAGGCGCTTGTGTAGCTCCACTGTGCCATAACCAATACTTGGCATCTCCTCCCATACTGTAGGTTTCTATTTCATCTCATGAGTGTGAATTAACTCAGTCAGACGGAGAGCTGTCCTCTCTCAGCTATAAATACCACTTAAAAGTGTTTGGCTTGCACTTCGAGATGACAGCTGCACGTGAGGAGGAAACTATATGTGTCAGCCATGTGTTGCCTCTTAAGTATATGCCTGTTTAATATAATTACCGTATAGCTATCTCACACTAAGTCAAACAACGTGGTTCTTAGCCTATTGATTCGTCTAGCTGGAGACATTTAGTGATCTCAGACACACGTAGACAGCATTTGGCTTCCGTAAAGTACGTTGTGATGAAACAAAAGTTCAGTATAGATACACTGTAAATGTTCTCAATAACTCGTATCAACTCCCCCGGTGGCTTAAAGTTAAAGCCGACCCTACTCACAACAAAGATTACCAGCTTTTGTCCGTTCAAGTTCGCCCCTTTTGTTGAGGCACCATTACTCAAAGATGACGGCATACAGCGTTCCTCTCGTCCCTCTTTTGTCTCCCCCGAGGGGCTTTGCAAAGGTTGCACTTCTGGTGTGGGCATTAGTTAGGCCACAGGAAGGGCTTTTAGGCCGTCACCTCTGGCGATTCTGGCCCCGTCAGCTGCTGGGATTTAGTTAAAACACTCATTCAGCAAATGTGAATGAAGCTGGGTTCAGGCTGGCAGGTCTGCACGCAGAGGTGAGAGCAAAGAAGAAGAAAAACGGGGAATCCTTACAGTTTAATCATAAAAAATTACGTCCAAAGTGTTGACGAAAGGATGTATTTGGGAGTCATGTGAAAGCTGGCACCTCAGGATTATTTTAATACTTAAATCTTTGTCAAAACACACGTTGTACTGCAGCTTTTGCCAGATACTCTGCATGCTTTTGTCTGGTGTTGAAGGAATGTGCCCAAAATAATCAGAGTGTGTTTTTTCATGTGAGGCTGACCGAGACCTGAGAAGCTGTCCATCCCCCTCAGATTGTCACCTACAATGCACCCATACTAATACAGCCGAACCACTTGTCCAGGTTTGGCTGTATTAGTATTTAAAGGTGTATTACTTGTGTATCAGTACACAAGTTCGGTGTCATTATTTAGCAATTTCTCTTATTTAGAAATGTCTTGTTTCCAAAACCCAAATTACACAAATGCCACACAAATGCTCCAAATTGTACATTTAAATGCCACTCACTTTAACTTTAAATGTCACACGCTGTACCCTTTACATTTCACAAACTGTACCCTTTAAATTTCACAAACTGTACCTTTAAATTTCACACACTGTGCCCTTTAAATGTCACACACTGTACCTTTAAATTTCACACACTGTACCCTGTCAATTTCACACACTGTACCTTTCAATTTCACACACTGTACCTTTAAATTTCACACATTGTACCCTGTAAATTTCACACATTGTACCTTTAAATTCTACACACTGTACCTTTAAATTCTACACACTGTGCCCTTTAAATTTCACACACTGTGCCCTTTAAATTTCACACACTGTACCTTTAAATTTCACACATTGTGCCCTGTCAATTTCACACACTGTGCCCTGTCAATTTCACACATTGTACCTTTCAATTTCACACATTGTACCTTTAAATTCTACACACTGTACCTTTAAATATCACACACTGTACCCTGTAAATTTCACAAACTGTACCCTGTAAATTTCACACACTGTACCTTTAAATTTCACACACTGTACCTTTAAATTTCACACACTGTACCTTTAAATGCCACACACTGTACCTTTAAATTCTACACACTGTACCTTTAAATACCACACACTGTACATTTAAATTTCACACACTGTGTCCTTTACATTTCACACACTGTGCCCTTTACATTTCACACAC